GTGTTTGTTCCAGGGGTGGATTTGGCTCTGTGTCCTGTGCAGCGCTTCTGAGTCTCTAGGGTGTGCCCAACTCACCAGGTCCAGCTGTGCAACCTAGGGGAGTTACTTGACCTCTCTGTGCCCCAGTTTCCTTGTCTGCGCCCTGGGCATACCAACAGTGTGTGTGGAGGCCGGGTTGCTCCACCTACAGGACCGGGAAGAACGCCTGGCCCGCAGGCAGCCCTCAATTACCCAGCATCATCACTGGGGTGTCACCGTCTGTGACAGTTTGAGCACATGTCCCTGTGTCTCAAGGGAATGTGGAGCAGGAAGTGCCGTGGGAACAGGTGGGGGCCAGTCCTGGGGGGGTGGCCCCTATTTTCTCATCTGCAGAGTGAGGAACAGCAGCACCTCCCTGGGCTGCGCTGGGGTGCGGGGCGCCCCCTCCCCACCTTTGATGGGAGATGAAATGAACCGGAACCCCTAGAGCAGCACCTGCAAGCAGAGGCACTGTGGGGACAGCTAGTGACGATCCCCACGGGGGGGGGGCACTCTGCGCCTGGCTTTTCTGAACCAGCGTGGGATGTGGCAGGAGGTGGCCCTGGGCACCTGGCCTTACAGGTTCCTCCACTCCCGCCGGGTCCCCAGCGCCCATCCCCCTGCGCCCATCCCCCACGGCAACGCCCCCTGGCCTGGGGGGGAGGGCCAGCAGCCCCGCGCCCTGCCCCCCTCTGCGGCTCCCCAGGTCCCCACCTTGGCCTCTGCGCCTCCCTGGGCCTCTCCTGACTGCGGACAGCGGGCCGAGGGCGAGGGCGCAGGGGAGGGACCGAGGCTGGCGACCTCCGCGGAGGGACAGGGCGGGGAGGGGGTCGGGGTCAAGGAGCCCCTCACCTGCCGGGTCCCTTAACGAGGTGGCTCGGCCCAGGTGTCACACCCTCTCCGGGGCCAGCGGGTCCTCAGGTGGCCCCGGGAATGGGGCGGGGCGTGGGGGCGGGAACCCCGGGAGGAGGGAGGTGGCCCCGGGCGCAGCGCCGTCCCCAACCGCCCCCGGCTGCGGCGCCCCGCCCCCCAGGTAACCCCGAGCCCCGCGGAGCCGCGACCGTCGCGCAGACCCGGGCGATGGAGGCGCAGCGGGACCGCGACGCGCTCGGCGGCGGGACGGGGGCTGACGCGCCCGAGAGCCCCCAGGAGCCGCCGCCGTCCCCGCCGTCCCCGCCGTCCCCGCCGTCGCCGCCGTCGCCAGCCACCCCCGAGAGCCCGCAGCTCCCGAAGCCCGAGCCGCCCGCGGAGGCCCACGCGCGGCAGCTGCTGCTGGACGAGTGGAGGCCCCTGGGCGGGCGCCTGCAGCTGCCCCCGCGCCTCACCTGGAAGCTGCTGCTCGTGCGGCGGCCGCTCTACCGCAACCTGCTGCGCTCGCCCAACCCCGAAGGTGCGGACGCTGCACCGGCGCCACCCGGACCGTCTGGATCTTCATCTTGGCGGCTCGGTTTCCCTGTCCGTTGTTCCCACCCCCCTCCACCTTCTTCATCCTTCTCGTTTCCTGTCTTGTCCTGTGTCTGTCCCTGCGTCCCTCTGTCCTGCCCCGCATCTCCACGTCCTAGCGTCTCTGCCTCCACCCGACGTCCCTGGGCGTCCCAGCCTCTGCCTGTCTCTGTCTCCGGGTGCCTCTCTCCCCTGTTTCACCGCATCCCCCTCCGGATACCGACCTCTCCCGGGGTCTGAGTCACGGCTCCCTGCCGGGCTGGTCTGGCCCCACACAGTTCCCTGCCCTTCCAGTGCCACCCCGGGGCAGGGAGGTGACGGTGCGGAAGGACTGGCCTGAGGCTCCCCCTTTGTGCATTTCAGGGATCAACATTTACCAGCCAGCACCCCCTACCGGCCCCACCCGGCAGCCCCTGGAGGCTCTAGGTAGGTGCTCCCAGCGGCCGCTAGGGGAGGGTGGACCCCCAGAGGAACCGGCTGACCCTTGTCTCTTCCACCGCCAGGCAATTTCCAGGGATGGCACATTAGAACAGAGACGCTCCAGCAGGACCTCAGGTGAGCCGCAGGCTCTGGGGTCTGCCCCAGATTCCCTGCTGCAGCCGTCTTCGCTGGGCAGCCTGCAGAAACTGACTTGGCCTCTCTGGGCCTCCTTTCCTGCTGTCAACAGGGTTGGTCATGAGAGAGGATGCTGGCCAAGCGCCCAGCACAGGGCTGGCTCGGTGCGCCCAGCACCCAGTAGGTGCTCAGCCCATTCCACCATTACTGTTACTGTTCTCAGCCTCTTTCCCCGGGATGGGAAGAGTCACCTGAGGCCACATCTGTCCTCCATTATCCGCATCCCTGCTCTGTGCAGAGGGTGAGAGGGTGGGACTTGGTGGCTTGGAGTCGCACAGGCCTGGGTTGGGTCCTGGCTCTGCCACTTCTTTGCTGCTTGACTTTGATCTTAAGCCTCAGTTTTCCCATCTGCACAAAGGGTTCAGATTGCATCAACTCCAGGGGGCGGTGGGAGCCAGACGGTCAGGCACCGCTGCGGGTGGGTCTCCTCCTCCCAGGGCCTGGGAGGCCGGGGGTCACAGCGGGTGCAGACCCCACCTCCCCTGCCCCTCTTTACAGCTGGACGGTGAAGCAGCAGTGCGTGAGCCTCCTGGCCGAGGGCCTGTGGGAGGAGCTGCTGGACGATGAGCAGCCGGACATCACCGTCATGGACTGGTGCGTGCCCGCGCATGCGCTTGGTGGCCCAGGGACTCCCCAGAGCCCAGACTCCCCTGCTCCCCCGACACTGAGCTCCTCACTGACACCCCGCCCCACGATGCAGGCCCCGTCGTGCCCAGCTCTCTGGCCTGTTCTCTGAGTCTCTCAGGTTTCAGCCTTTCCAGGCCCCTAAATCTTTGGGCTTCGATGAGGCTGTTCCTTTTTGTATGAATGCTTGTCCCCTCTGTTATTGTTTTTCCTTTCTTTCTGGTCCTGGGAACTGAACCCAGGGGCAGTCTACCCCTGAACCACATCCCCAGCCCTTTATTTTCATATTTTGAGCAGGATCTCACTAAGTTGCTAAGGCTGGCCTCTAACTTGTGATCCTCCTGCCTCGGCCTCCATAGTTGCTAGGTTACAAGCATGTGCCACTGTGCCCAGCTTCTCTGTTATTCTTGTGATGGATTCATATATATGAATACACACACACACACACAGACTTTTTTTAGTTGTAGATGGACACTATACCTTTATTTTGTTTATTTAGTATTTTTTTTAATGTGGTGTTGGGGGTGGTCCCCGTCCTCATGTGCCAGGCGAGTGCTCTACCTCTGAGCCCCGGCCCAGGATGGCTTCCCTTGACTGCAGGAGTCAGTTGCTCAAGGCTGGGGGGGAAGCCTTCCCTGACCACACCCTGCTGGGTCACATGGGTTTGCCCCAGGGCTCTGGTCCCGTCCCATCCTGACCCCTCTGCCTGCGCCCCCTTCCATCCTAACCAGATGTCACTGTCCCCCTGGACTGTGAGTCCCCTGAGGACAGGGCGTGGGGCTATCTTGGTCCCTTGGCTGCCAGGGCTGTCCAGGCTGGGCCTGCAGACTGGGTGGGGAGCGGGTATTGAGTGCAGGATGGGGTCGCGGTTGTTGGGACGTGGTGGCAGCCCAAGGCCCGACCCCCCTGCAGGTACGAGGACAGCCGACTTGACCAGTGCGTCTACGAGCTGCACGTGTGGCTGCTGGCCGCGGACCATCGCACGGTCATCGCGCAGCACCACGTGGCCCCCCGGAGCTCTGGGCGTGGCCCCGCTGGCCACTGGATACAGGTGAGGTGGCCGGGCCCCGCCCCGCGAGACAGCGCTGCTTCCCCACGACCTCGCGGGGCGGGCGGAGGGGAGCAGGTGGGCTCTAACCAGGACTCCCTCCCACCGCCCAGGTGTCCCACGTGTTCCGCCAGTACGGCCCCGGGGTGCGCTTCGTCCACTTCCTGCACAAGACCAAGAACCGCATGGAGCCCGGTGGGCTTCGCCGGACAAGGGTGACCGACTCCTCCGTGTCTGTGCAGCTCAGGGAATGACAGGCTGACCCTGGGCCTCCCAGAGCCTCCCCTGACCTCGGAGCACCCCCTGACCTTTGACCGCGACCTTGGCTTCTCCCCTGAAACCTTCACACATCCCTGAATGTCTGACTCTGGCACTCTGAGCTCCAGAGGCAGGGCCACTCCTTGTCAGATAGTAGGTGCTCAATAAACTTCCGTGAGTGAATGAATGGCCACCTGTGCCCTGGGATGCTGGGTGCCGCCCTGGTCTCCCCTCCCATTTCTCTTTGCAAACTCTCCAACCCTTGGCCCTCCAGCGTCTTCATGAGCCCTGGACTTTTTGCTCTGACCCTGACCTCTGTGATTTCTTCACACTCCTCCCCAGTACAGACCACTCGACACCCCTCCCACCATTTCTCCTGTGTCTCTTAACCCCTAGACTCTTCCCAAGTCCCCTCTGGCCCCAGCCGCTGCCAGTCATCATGCCCCAAGGCTGTCCCCATGCCCCTCCCCCCACCTTCCCTGTGTCTCTGCTCTAGTCCCTCAAGGTCTCCAAACCCAGATATCCACCAAGGGCACTTGTCCCTAGGGTGGGGACACAGGTTGTAGCCTGAACAGAAAGATCCAGATTTGAGCTAAAGTGTCTTCCACGTGTGGGGGGAGGGGGATTAAAAGTACTCAGCCCCACCTCAAGGTCAAGCTCTAGCAGACCACTCCACCTGCCTGGGTTGGGGGGGGGCAGGTCCCTAGAAGACCCCTGGTATCCCAGACCCGTCTCCTGAGGGTCCCAGCTACCTGAGGGCCAGAACAGCTCAGGGCAGGATTTGTACCCAAAGCATGGAGACGTTTCACTACCAACCACCAGCCAGCTCCCCCCCGCACTCCTCCTGCGCGTCTCTGCGTCCCACCCCAACTCCATATCGCAGCTGGTGGCTGGGCCACCCTCCCAGGCATTTGCATGGCCAACCGCTGTCCCCACAGTCCCACCCAGTCCTGTGTGGACGTGGGTCCCAAGCACACGCAGATGGCAGACGGACAACTTGTCAAGGGCTGTATTGCAGACAGGGTGGCGGGTGGCGGGCTGAAGGCGCCCTCCTCCTGGGTCTTGAGGCCGGGGCTGGGTGGGGGCTGCAGTGGGAGACTCCGGGATCAGTAGCACCTGCAACGTAATCCGAGATGGTCACCAGGGCTGTCAGGGCTGGGTCCAGGGCGTGGTGGGGAGCTGGGGTGGGGGTCCAGGGCTCCCAGTCGGATCGGGGCTGCTGGCCCGGGAGTGTGTGGCTGGGGCTCCTGGGGCTCTTGGGGAGCACGGCTGGGCTGCTTTGGGGGTGACACAGTAGGTGCCAGCGTCTGGGGGCCTGGGTATTTGAGTGTAGGGTGGGCTCAGGGGCCTCCAGGGCTGGGCTGGGGACTCAGGGACTGATTTGAGGGTTGGGGCTGATCTAGGGGGTGCAGGTGGGTGGGGAGCCCCAGGGCGGCTGGTAGGGGTGTCCTGGAACGGTCCTGGGGTCTCCAGGGCTGGTGGATTAAAGCCTGAGAGTCCCAGAGTTGGGTGGGGGAGCTTTAGATGTGACAGTCTGCAGCAGGAGGCTGGCTGGCATGGGCCTGGGGCTCCTCCCCTCAGGCGATCCTCCCTGGGGAGCACATGGGGGGAGCAAGTGGATCCTTCCAGAAGGGGGGCGGGGTCTGAGTTGAGGGAGCTGAGGGATCCAAGGGGCAGGGGCTGCCTGGCGCAGGCTGGGGTGAGGTGCCGGGGGACCCTGGACTTGGGGACACCCAGGACTGGTGTCTCTGGGTGGCGGCTGGGGCGGCCCCGGGGCGCGGGCACCTGCAGTACAGCGCGGAGATGGCGTTGGACCAGTCCCCGAAGATCCCGAGGCGCAGCTCCTCCAGGCGCGGGTAGGAGCCCGAGGAGAACTTGCGCGTCTTGCCGGCCTTGCCCGCGCGGGACCACACGGTGAGCTCGCAGCGCGGCGCCACCACCAGCGAGGACGCCGTGTTGGCCCAGCCCGAGGGCAGGAAGGGCAGGTCGGCGCCCGGCTCCACCGAGAGCTCGGCGCCCCGGCAGCAGTTGTCGTAGTAGGGGTCGCTCTTGTCGTAGAGCTTGGCGCAGGTGCGAGTCCCATCCTCGCCCTTGAGGTCGGCCGGCACCGGGCAGGTGCCCTGGGCACCCGGCACAGCCACCAGGGCCAGGGCCAGCAGCAGCGGGCCCAGGAGGGACATGGTGACACGGCAGGGCTGGCCCCCTCGCGGTTTTGTGCACCTGAGCCGTGGGAAGGGAGAAGGTGCAAGATAAGGACTTGGGAGGGAAGGAGGGGGAGCCCTCCCCCCCCCCCGTGGGGACCTTCCAGGCCCAGGCCATGGACACAGGTGGAGGAGAGCAAGCTTGCAGAAAGCCTGGCACCTAGCATTTGACACGGCAAGGCCACCATGGTCAGTAGGCAGGACTTGAGGTCATTTGTAATACATAGGGTGGCTTGGGGTCCCTGCATGGGGAAGGCAGGGTTCTCAGGCACTGACAAGGCAGCCGAGGGTGGTGGCCCTGGCCTGTCATCCCAGGGGCTCCAGAGGCTGAGGCAGGAGGATCTCCAGTTCAAAGCCAGCCTCAGCAAAAGTGAGAGGCTAAGCAACTCAGTGAGACCCTGTCTCTAAATAAAATACAAAATAGGGCTGGGGGTGTAGCTCAGTGGTGGAGTGCCCCTGAGTTCGATCCCTAGTACCCTGAAACAAAAACAAAAATAAAATGGACAAGGCACAAAACAATCCCCCTACTGAATAAGGAGAGGCAGCAAAGGGAGAGGGAGGACCCAACCCTTGGAAAAGGAGAAGCTGGAGCTAAGGAAAGGAGCTCTGGAGGAGAGGGGAGGGGCCGAGGAAGAGCTCCTCACCAGGACAGGAAGACGATTCCAACCAAGACTGGAAACCAGCATCTGGGGTTGATGATTCACAGAACACTTTCAACCTTTGAAGACATCATACAAAAAAGGCATGGAGAAATTTTTGCCACACTCAGATAACAGAGCTGATAGCTATAATATATAAAGAGTGCTTACAAATGGACAAGAAGAAATCAGCACACACCCCAACACCCAACACGTGCATACACTGAAGAACAGACCCAGGAGGGGGAGAAGAAGGGGGAAAGAGGCTGCCACCCCACCCTCTTTCCCAGGAGCCAGGAGACAGGGAGGGAGGGAGGGAGGGAGAGAGATATGCTGGGACAGAATACAAGGCCTCACATGTGTCAGGCAATTGCTCTCCCACTGAGCTACACGCAGCCCCACCAGGAGCTGTCTTAACCAAGTCTGGAAATCTTGAATCTGTAAAATAAATGGTGGCCCTGTTGAGCTGTATAAAGTGGGAACAATTTATCTGGCTGTGGTGGCACACACCTGTAATCCCAGCTACTCAGAAGGCTGAGGCAGAAGGACTGAAATTTCAAGACCAGCCTGGGCAACTATAGTAAGACCCTCCCTGTCCGAAAAATTAAAAGGGCTAGGGGTGTAGCTCAGTGGTAGTGCACCCCTGGATTCAATCCCCAGTACCAAAGCAACACAAAGCAAACAACTAAAACCACTGATTAGACTTTCCTAATTTTTTTTATTTAGTTGTAGTTTGGAGACAATTTTCTTTATTTATTTGTATGCGGTGCTGAGGATCGAACCCAGGACCTCACACATGCTAGGAAGCACTCTACCACTGAGCCACAACTTTAGCCCCTAATAAGACTTTTATATAGTAAACAAACAAACAAACAAATACACCTGATCTATCTGGGGAAAATGATCTCAGTTCATACAATACACAGCGAGCTCTCAGCCAAAGGAAAAAATCCAGGGGAACCTAGAAAGAGAGAGAGGCTGGGAGCTCAGGGCTGGATGGGACTGAGCACAGCCCTGCAGGAGCTCTCCAGAGAGGACAGGGTCAGTGGCGCAGAGGGGCTGACGGGGGACGGGGCCATGGCTCTGTGAGTGAGCACGAGTCCGAGCCTCAGTCTTCTCATCTGTCAAGTGGGTATTGCTTCTTCCTATACCGTGTGTGTGTGTGTGTGTGTGTGTGTGTGTGTGTGAGATACGGGGGCCGTGAATTCAGAGAAAAGCCCAGGGAGCCAGATGGCCTGTGCACAGCACCGCCCCCAAGGCCTCATGGGCACACGGATCCTGACTTCTGCTGGTGCAGGATCAATGAGCTGATCCAGGTCACAGTGTTTAGAGAAGGCCCAGCTCTTGCTGAGTACCACAGAGCACTGGCCATCGTCATCACTATTAAAACTCCTAGCAGGGAGGCTGGCACAGAATAAGAGCCATGAAATCTCGTAGACGTCAGCCGTCACCACAGCACAACACAACAACACTTTGTGCCTTCCAAGGCCACTGGGTGAGCCCTGCTGTGTCTTCTGCCTTGAGGGTGGGTAGCGCAGTGGTTAGGGATTTTGACTCTGCCACCTGCTTGCTGAGTGGCCTTGGGCAGGTGCACTTACCTCTCTGAGCATCGATTTACTCCTCCCTTCAGTGGATAAGAGAAAGTAAGGTTTCTATGTAAAGTGGTCTGTACTCATAGGAAACGTTATGAGCACGCCGTGTGATTATTGTTATGATATAAATACGTGTTGCATGATATTGAACAACAACAAGGAATGGATGTACTATATGAAGTGTGAGGGTGGGTCCCGGCAGGTGCCCAATCAACAGGAGCTTCACGACTGTTCTCACAGTGATCCGACCCCCGGCCCTCCCCTGGCCGGCTCCCGGTCCTTCTCCCCGCTTTCCTCCCGTGACCCCGTGAAATCTAATCTCCAGCTGCTCACTTCCCAGAGAGCCTCCTTGACAGAGCCCCGCCTCCTGGCACTGCAGCGAGACACGTACGTGTGGCACGGTCACCCACAGTCCCACCCGTGAGGGTCCCAGGAGCCTCAGACACAAAGGGCAGGGAGACCCTGAAAGGGAGGCAGATCCAGGGCCAGCGTCACGCAGAACCACGGAGACCAGGGCATGTCACCAATCCAGCACCTGCACTCACACAGGTAGGGGACAGGGCAGCTCCTTCGCACTGTCCCCAGTGTGACACGACTGTCACCAGTGCCTCCAACACCACTGGTGGTCATGGATTCTCACTGGTGAATTCCTCTCCCTCTCTCTCCCTCTCTCTCTCTCTCTCTCTCTCTCTCCTGGGGATGAACCCAGGCTCTGCGCTCTAGGCTCATGGCTCTCAGGGAGCCTCACCCCAGCCCCTTACTGGTGACTTTGGAAGGTCTGCACACTTGAGTGCCAACGCATGCTTGATCCGCGGCCTGGGGACACGCTCACCGACACCCTCATTGGAATGTGCACACAGTGGAGTCCCACCAAGCCCCCAGCCCCGGTCCCCAGCCCTGCACCCACGAAGTCTCCGTGCACACCTGAGCCTCACACGTGCGTGCAGCGCTCCACGCAGGTGTGATCCCCCCTGTTTATTAGCACAGACTGCACAGGGCTAGAAAACATCTCTTCACTACACAATTTCTTTTTTAATTTACACCGAAGAACGTCCTGCCCTAGGGGAACCCATAAGCCCTTGAGAAAGTGGGACGGTAAGTCAGTAATTGGGCACCACATGAATACAGTGCTAGCAGAGGACTTCGGGGCGAGCGGTGGGGAGAGAGACAGGCTTGAGGTTTTAATCTCCACCGCTGTTTTGCTTTGTCTAGGAGACAGAATAAGAAGCCCTCTCTTCAGATCCCACAACCTTGGTTCCACATTTTTCAGCAGACAATGAAAAGGACATGGCCACAGACTGCCACTGCCACTGGGAGGAAAGAGGAGGCGTCTGCCTCCCTCAGGATGGCACCTAGGCGCGAACGGCAGGCGGGTGGCACATGGTTCAGTTGACGTGCGACGGGTGTTGGTCAGATTGGCCCTGAGGTTCATGTTGGGCCATCAGAGCTCATTACCATTGTGTCATGTCACCGAACAGGATTATTTTTATGTACAGTCACTTGTCACTGAACAATGGGGACACATTCCGAGAACTGTGTCGTGATTTTGTGGTGCAAACTTGGAATACGTACACAAACTAAAGCGTCATTAGGTGATACCATCTCAGGGACCAGATCCTAAATGTGGCCCCTTGTTGATGGAAATGTCATTATCTGCAAGCATGGCCGTGATTCCTAAGGGATGATATGACCTCAGGGAGCCATAAATGGTTGGGAGGCAGTGGTTCTCAAAGTGTGGTCCCTGGACCAGCAGCAGCAGCAGCTGCTAGAACACTAAGTTCCAAACCCCACTCAGTCCCACCAAAGCAGGGACTCCAGGCGGGACCCAGCCACCACCCCCAGGTGATTTTGATGCACAAGAACTTGGGCTTTGGTCCAGGGCTTCAGACATCACTGGTTGTATATTAAATTTAGATAATTTTCTGTATTGATAACCCCCATTTGCTCAGTTCCTTTAAAAGTATATTTTACAGCCAGGTGCAGTGGCAGGCGCCTGTCACCCTGCTGCTGGGGAGGCTGAGGCAGGAGGAACTCAAGTTCAAAGCCAGCCTCAGCAAAAATGAGACGCTAAGCAGCTCAGTGAGACCCTGTCTCTAAATAAAATACAAAATAGGGCTGGGATGTGGCTCAGTGGTCAAGTGCCCTGAGTACCAAAAAAAAAAAAAAAAAAAAGGAAATTTTATATAACTTTCCTGGTTGCAAAACCTTAGCGATTAGAAAAAAGAACATTTATTTCTTGGGTGGGGGGTGTCTCAGGTGGATCTTCATAGGGCAGTGCCTGGAACCCAAATGCTTAAGATGAACTTGAACTTCTCCGATACAGACAAGAAGATGGGTCACCATCTAACGTCAGGACACGGTTGACATCCATTTTCTCAGACACACCTGCGTGCAGGTGAGGGGTGCCTTTTCTCAAGGTTCCCTGGGTCCCACAGCTACCTTTGGGTCTAGGCCAGAGCTATGCATAGGTGACCCAAATTGCCCGTAGGCTCCCGCCCAGGGCCGGTTCTGACGCGCGGTCTGTGTCTCCTGCACAATCCAGGTGACGCCCGGCGGCCGGGGACACTCTTTTAAGTCTCCCCGAGACAGATCAAGCAAGAACACGGCCTCGACTTGGAACCTGCGGCGGGAACAGAGGTGAGCAAGGCCCGGGAAGGAAGGAAAGTGACGAGGGAGAAACTCGGACCAAGTCCAGAAGGAGCCGGGCGAGGAGACTCAACCCTCCGGGCGGGCGCAGCTTCGGTCCTTGCTGGCCAGGGAGGCGGGGCCTCCACGCCGAGCGCGGAGAGGGGCGGAGCCTCTACGCCAAGCGCGAGAGGGGGCGGGGCCTCGCTGGAAGCTGGACCGGGAAACCTGGATCCCGGAGCGGGCGCGAGGTGGCGCCAACGCGCAGAGGCTGAGCGAGTTGGTTCTGGATCTCTAGACCCGGGTTCAAATCCCGGCTCTGCTGCCTACGCGCTGTGTGACCTGGGGCGAGTAATCAACCTTTCTATGCTCCAGTTTCCCTCATGTGCGAAGTGAACGTGATTCACTCAAAAACTAGTTGCACCCGCTTGGAATTTTGAGATCTGCAGGGAAGTTGGCACTTGCTTTATTTTGGTAGTTGGTGCACCCCCCCCCCCTTTTTATTTTTAATCAATGATGAGTTACAGCTGCACCCCTTTTAATAGTCTTTCCAAATGAGCAACAATAACCGGTGACCTAGTGGATCTTGTGTATTACATATTTGGGGTTTTCTCCTTTAATGCGTTCTTATTTCAATAACAACGACAGTGACAACATTTCTTTCCTTTGTGCACTTGGCTTTTATTTCTTTTATTCTGTTTTCTTTGCCTTTATTGTGCTGTTCTTTCCTAGCACTTGAGATTGACGTTCGAGTGCTGGTTTTCAGCCTTTTCTTTCCCCACATTTCTATTTAAGGCTTTATGGATTCTGTTTAGGATCTCTGTGTGGCTTCCATGTGACAAAAAAGCCCAGTGTGCTGAGACCATTTCAGGCACACAAAAAGAGATCAGCAGTTTGCTAATGAAGATGTTGGTTTGGGTTATTGTTGTTGTTGTTATTATCATTATTGGTGCTGAGGATTGAACCCAAGGGCTCTGACCACTGAGCCACGGTCCCCACACCTTTTTGATTTTTATTTTGAGACCGGGTTTCACTAAGTTGCTGAGGGCCTCCCTAAGTTGCTGAGGCTGGCTTTAAACGCGCGATCCTCCTGCCTCAGCCTCCGGAGCTGCTGGGATTACAGGCGTGCGCCCCAGTGCCCTGCAGGATTATTATTATTAATCAGGGATCTTGAAGACGGAGAAAGATTCAGGGCAAGAGGCCTGAACCAGCCGTTGGTGAGTTTCCTACAGCAATCATAACAAATGACTGAAACTCAGTGGCTTAAGACGTCACGTTTATTCTTGCAGTTCTGGGCATCAGGAGTCCAAACTGGGCCTCACTGGGCTGACGTGAAGGTGTCACAGGGCGGGTTCCTCTGGAGTGTGTGTGGGGGGAGGCCTTTTCCTTGGGGTTTCTGGCTTCTGGAGGCCACCCGCCTTCCTCCTTCATCAAAGCCGGCAGCATCTTCAAATCCCTTCCCATATCCTCCCCTTCTGCCTCTCTCTTCCTCCTTAAAGGATCTGGGTAATTGCTTTGGACTCCCCTATAGAATGCAGGGTGATTCCCATAGTGACGTTCTGCTTGGAATAAGTGTCCCCTGAAGGCACGTGTATGAAAGGCCTGGTCACCAGCCCTTGGTGCTGTTGTGAGGGGGTGGAACTTAAGAGGTGGAGCCTGGTTGGAGTCCTGGGTCACATGGGGTGGTCCTGGTCCTGAGTCTCTCTCTCTCTCTCTTTAGCACCTGGGTGCCATCAGGTGATCAGCTTAACTTTCTCACATGCTCCCGCCATGACGTCCTGTCCTGCTATAGGCCCCAAACCACCACCCACTGACCATGGGCTGCAACCTCCCAAACTGTGAGCCAAAATCAGCCTTCTCTCCTTCTAAGTCGGTTATCTAAGGCATAACCATCGTGGAAAGTGGAACAACCCACCCCCTATCCATGGGCGATATGTTCCAAGAACCCCACTGGGGGTCTGAGACCACAGATGGTACCCACTCTGTACGTGCTCTGTTATTTCCCTCTACATACAGACCTACGATGAAATTCAATGACATTTCCATCTTGACTAAGAGCTTATCGTGCGTGCACTGTGGCTGTAATTTTTGCAGTTTGAGGTGCCACAGAAAAACCAGCGTGAATTTCCTTTTCCTTTTTTACAAATTCACAGATAGAAGATTGGTTTTCAGCAGCTCTTAGCAACCTCAGTGTAGGACTTTTTTTCTTTGCTTATTAAGTCAAGAGCATTCACCTTTTCACTTAAAGCAAACATTTTATGGCTTCTCTTTGACATATCTGAATTGCTGGCATCATTACTCTTGTGTTTTGGGGAAATTTTTAAGAAAAATGGATGTTTCCGAACACAAAGACTGCAATACTATGACAGTTAATCTGATAACCAAGAGAACTACTAAGTGATTAACGGGCAGGTAGCATATACATCGAGGATACACTGGACAGAGGGAAGATTCACGTCCCAGGCTGGATCAAGAAGGACTGCACAAGATTACATCCTGCTACTCAGAACACAGTGTGCTAAAAAAAAAACTTATGAATTGTTTATTTCTGGAATTTTCCATTTAATATTTTCAGACCACAGTTGGCTATGAGTAGCTGAGACCATGGGAAGTGAAACTATGGAAGAAGGAGGACGCCTGTATTTTAAGATCAGCTGATTAGTGACTTAATTTCGTCTGTAAACTCAACTTCCTTCTTGCTGTCTAACTTAATCACAGTTCTAGTGACATCTCTGGGGGCCATTATTCTGCCCACAGATAAGTATTTGGTTTTACCGCTAATGAGGAATATTTTTCTTTTTCATATCAAGAGAGAGAATTGCCGAGGCCATCTGGGGCTTCCCCGTGGCAGAGCCCAAGCTTCATGTGTCTTGTGCTTGATCATCAATAAGTGGCTTCCTCTTCATGGTCTTAGGTGGCTGCTTGGGCTCCATCCTTCACGCCTGCGTCATGACCAACTCATGGAAGAAGAGAAGGAGGGAGAGAGCTGAAGGGGGCGCTCATCCCAGAAGTGACGTAGGTGACACACCTCTCTATGTCTTGCTGTCAGAGTTTAGCTCTAGCTGAGTCTGGACTCAGGTCAGCCCTTGGCCTGGCCACAATCAAGTTCCCTATTACTGAAAAAAGAACAGATATTGAGGACCTGTCCCAAAGGTTGGTAAGAGACAGGTCGGGTGGATGACAGGGAGTCAGACAGGGCGCAGGTCTCCAGGAAAAGGGAAATCTAGACTTTCTACAACTGGGTGCACAGAGGAGGGGAACAGTAGTAGCTCGCGGTCTCTGAAGATCGCCAGGGCCTGTCCAGGAACCTGCACATGTGCCCTTATTTGGCAGAAAGGACTTTGCGGATGTGCTTGAGTTGAGGATCTGGCAAGGAGGAGAGTGTCCTGGAGTATCTGAGTGAACCATAAATGGAATCACAAGTGTCCCTTTTAAGAGGACACAGGGCTGGGCACGGTGGTTGGGAAAGCATCCCCAGCAGCGGGAACAGAGGGAACAGCCAATGCAAAGGAACATTTGAGGACTGGCAAGGGGTTTGTGGCGTCAGAGTGAAGAGGTAGGTGGAGAGCCAGAGATGAGGTCAGAGGGGGGACCTTTGTCTCTCTGATTAAGTTGGCATGGACTCACCCCAAGCAAGACAGAGCCATGGGACGGCCACGCCCCCTGAAGTCCCACTCTGAGAAGTGGACCATCCTTGGTCTGAGCCTGCTGGGTCATCTTGGTCCCTTGCCAGTGACTGTTTAGGTTAGGGCATGTGACACCATTTTGAGCAACACAACAATCGTTTACTCCTCCAACAAACACTTACTGTCAGGCACTGTTCTGGGCCCTGGGAAGGAGCAAAGCAGCTGAGAGCCCCCGCCTGGGGAACTTCCCTTCTAGCAGGGAGAGAGAGACGGCCATGAGCCCCGGGATGAGCGGCTTGACTGTGGGCTGGGGGTGGTCCACGCTGGGAGGAGAGCACAGGGCAGGGACCGTCAGGAGCCGTGTGTCAGGGTGGAGTGTCAAAAAAAAAATTCTTTTTGGTACCAGGGATGGAACCCAATGGCACTCAACCACCGAACCCCATCCTCAGCCCTTTTTTTTGTATTTTATTAGAGACAGAGTCTTGCTGAGTTGCTGAGGCTGGCTTTGAACTCGCGATCCTCCTGCCTCAGCCTCCCGAGCCGCTGGGATTACAGGCAAGAGACAAGGCACCCAGCCGGAGTCGTGATTTTTAATGAGATGTTAGCGTAGGTCAAAGGGGATTCTGATAAGAGGCTGTTGGGGAAGGGTTTCCTTCACAGTGAGACACACAGTAAAGTCTGTCCCTTTTCTTCTTCTGGACCTTGCCAGGGCATGGAATGCCTGTAACTTGTGACCGTGAGGAACTCCCAATTTGAGGATGCGGAGGACGCTGAGCCCGAAGATGGGAAGAGTCTCAATTATTGTAACACTGGTGCGATGTCCTGAGTTAACCAGCCCTGATCGACCTCACCCCAGACTTCCTGTTACGGGAGATCACAAATTCCTGCTTCTTTATTTACTTGTTTGTTTGTTTGTTTATGTGGTGCTGGGGATTGAACCCAGTGCCTCACATGTGCTAGGCAGGTGCTCTACCACTGAGCCCCAGCCCCAGCCCCAATTCCTGCTTTTTAAAGCAAGTTGAGTTGGGTTCTCTCTTAAGACAACATCCTGATGAATTTATTTATGTCTCATAATGCAAGAAGATGGCTCTAATTGTTCATATGTAATGTGAGGTTTCATTAAAAAAAGAGAGAGAGAGAGAAAGCAACCTGTCAGTGCTGGAGAAGTTAACAGGTATCCATCAAAGACCAGGGATCAGCCAGCTATAGTGCCACACACCTGTCATCCCAGAGGCTTGGGAGGCTGAGACAGGAGGATCGTGAGTTCAAAGCCAGCCTCAGCAACTTAATGAGACCCTAAGCAACTCAGTGAGACCCTGTCCCCAAATCAAATATAAAAAAGGGCTGGGGATGTGGCTCAGTGGTTGAGTGTCCCTGAGTTCAATCCCAGGTACAAAAAGAAAAAAACAAACAAACAAAAAATAAAATAAAATGGGCATCAAAGAGGCCACTTGCAGACTCGCAGGTGGTGGTGTGGTGGTCTTTGGTACCAAGGAGAGCAGCCTGTGGCCTCAACCCTTGCTTCTAAGGCTTTCCATTGGCCACTATCTTCCATGGATCATTGTTCAGAGTATGGCAAGGGAGCCAGCCAATGAGGGATCCAATCTGAATAGAACTCAAGACAGCTCTTACTGCACAAGAATAAAACATTTTGAAACCAGAATGGGAGAGATGAGGGGCTGGGCTGTGGCTCAGTGGTAGATGCTTTCCCAGCATGCAGGAGGCCCGGGCTCGATCCACAGGAGCACACCCACACACAAAAGGGAAATGAATCCAGGGTGGCCTAGACCGTCTGATCATTTGCAATAGTTTCTTCCCTTCCAAAATGAGGAATTTGTTTCTTTGTTTGTTTTTGGTACCGGAGATCGAACTCAGGGATGCGCCATCACTGAGCCACATCCCCAGCCATTTTTGTATTTTATTTGGAGACAGGGTCTCACTGAGTTGCTTAGGGCCTCACTAAGTTGTTGCGGCTGGCTTTGAACTCGCCATCCTCCTGCCTTGGCTTCCTGAGCCGCTGGAATGACAGGCATGCGCCACCGCACCCAGCAGGAATCCATTTCTTGGGGAATATTATAAATCTCTGCCTATTGATCTCAGGCTTGGCCATGTCACCTGCTTGGGCCAGGGCAGTGCGGGTGGAAGTGGAGTGACATGTCTCTAGGAGCCTGAGCATACCCACCGCAGGCTCTGATCTCTCCCTTGTGAGACTGTCAAATGTCCCTGTTGGGGGCTGCACCTTCATCTGGATCCCAGCGAGGAGCCGAGACAGAGCTGCCCTGGGTCCTGTCGATCGATGCAGAAAAAGCATTTTCTAAACCTCAACAGCCATTCGTGACTTTTCAAAATCTCTCAGAAAACCAGGGATGGGGGGAACGTCACTCAAGCTGGTGGAGCATCTGTGAAACCTGGGGCTCACATGATGCCGTCTGGTGAGACACTGAGCGCTTCCTCCCTACGACCAGGAGGAAGACAATGTCCTCTCACCAGCTTTTTCCAGGTACTGAGACTGGACCCACTGTCTCTTCCAGGTGTCCCATGGCCCCTGGGGATGCCTGCACCTGCCCCCCAGGCCTGTCCAGGTCCTCACAGGACCCCAGTGAGCTGCTCGGGGAAGCATGCCTTTGGTTTTCCCCTCTGGCTATCCCCAGCCCTCCTGGTGCTGGGGACTGAACCAGGGATGCTCTACCACTGAGCCACACCCACAGCCCCCCTCCATTTTTTCCCTTTTTTGGGGTACTAGAGATTGAACCCAGGGGTGCTTAACCACTAAGTCACATCCCCACTCCTTTTTATTCTATTAATATTTTTTCTTTTGAGACAAATTCTCACTAAGTTTATTAGGACCTTGCTAAGATGCTGAGGGTGGCCTCCAATGTGTGATCCTCCTGCCTCAGCCTCCTGAGCCGCTGGGATTACAAGCATGAGCCACCACGCCAGCCGTCTCTTGTCATCCTTACTGAACATACTACTAGGAGTTCCACTGAGTGAAAAAGTAAGGGAAGGAATGGAAAGTTCAGGAAAAGGAGACATAGAACTCTTTACCGGTGACATAATCATCCACATAGAAGATCCAAGGAATCTACAGAAATAGTCTTGGAACTGCTGAGGGAGGTGAGCAAGGTCACAGGATACAAGGCAAATACACAAAGCCAATATAGTTCTAAGCAACAGCAATGAATGCATCCCTCTGTCATCAAGCACTTACTGAGCACCTGCTGTGTGGCAGGGACTGTTGTAGATGCTGGACACAAAGAAAAACAAACAGACAAGAATCTGCTTGGAACACTGAATTCAAACTCCAATGCTGCTGTGTGCACACCTGTAGTATCAGCAACTCGGGAGGCTGAGGCAGGAGGATCGAAGGTTTGAGGCTGGCTTCAGCAACCTAGGCCTTGTCTCAAAATAGGGCTGGGGTGCAGCTTGGTGATAGAGGGCCCCTGGGGTCAATCCCCGGGACCACAAAAAAGAAAAAAAAAACCTATAATACCATTTTCAGTAATGAAAAAAATGAAACATTTAAGTGAATCATAAAAAAACATGCATAGGACTTATATATACTAAAGGTGACAAAATTCTGATGAAAGACCTCAAAGGAGACTTAAAAGCAAAGAGAGCTACTGTGTTCGTGGATGGGAATGCTCAAGAGACGCCCATCCACTCCGTACTGATAAATGGGTTTAATGTGATTCCTATCAAAACACAGGCAGGATTCTTTCTAGATTGCTCTAAAGTTTACTGCAGAGCTAAAGGATCTAGCACAGGAATAGAATAAAGTGGGAGGGTGAGGCTCCCTGACTCCAAGGCTTAGTGGACACACGGTAATGAAGACGGTGTGGTGTCCCTGCAGAGCTGGGCGGAGAGCAGGGGACAGACCCAGCGACTCACTCCCGACTGACTCTTGAAAAAAGTCAATTCCTGCTAAGGAAGGCCGGGGGATTCCACAGCAGGAGGACAGTAGCCTCCAACCAATGGCACCAGAACATTCGGACATCGGTGGGCAGAAGGGACAGACTGCACACGGGTCCCAGGCTTTCATAGAGACTGCAGAACCCTGAAACCGGGCGCACCCCTGCCGTCCCAGCCACTCAGGAGACAGGGGCAGGAGGATTGGGAGTTCAAGCCCAGCCTGGGCAACTTCATGAGGCCCTGTCCAAAACAGACAGACGGCTGAAAACCTCTTAGAAAAGGAAAAAAATGACTGACGGACTGTCGGTGGGGCAACAGGAACTCTTAACTCTACAAGGGTGTGAAAGCCACATGCACCGAGTGGAGATGGTACTTTGAATCTTGATCTCTTTCCCAGTCAGTGATGGGGTGCAGTGCTTTCTCTCCCCGCCCCCCGCCTCTCATGCTGGCCACCCAGCCCAGGGCCTCATGCACACTAGGCAAGGGCTCCACCACTGAGCTCCATCCCAAGTCCCAGGGACCATGTCTCCAAGACGCCGGGCAGTGGCAGCCGCTGCAGCTCCCCGTGTTGCTGGGCTGTGGTGTCCAGTGGTAGATGGACCAAATGCATTTTTGACTTGTGATGTTTTCAGTCTGTTCATAAGTTTGTTGGACAGATCTCCATGGGAAGTAGAGGAACATCTGTTTAGAAGAAAAAATCTTTGAGATCAAGGACTACGCAAACAGCTCTTAGACTTGACACCAAGATCACAAGTCACGAAAGGAAAAAAAAAGGTAAATTGGATGTCATCAGTATTCATATTTTTGTTCCATGAAAGACCCCAATAAAAGAACGAAAGACAAGATTGGGAGAAAATGTTTGTAAACCACATATAATGAAGGAGCAGTATCTGGAATGTCTCTATAGGTTTAACATCTCAAAATTGAAACACTGGGAGCAGGAAGGCCCTCGTGCACACCTGTGATCCCAGCAGCTCACTCAGGAGGCTGGAGCAGGAGGATGGCAAGTTCAAAGCCAGCCCCACCACTTAGCCGGGCCCTGAGCAACTCAGCGAGACCCTTTCTCACAATAAAAAAAATAAATAAAAGACAACACTCTAATTAGAAAACAGACAAGGACAAGAAGAGACATTTCACCTAAGAGGCTACAAAGGAGCCCACGTCCGATATGTTAACGATCATTAGCCACTGGAAAAATGCACATGAAGACAACAATGAGATCTCACCACGCACCTATCAGAATGATCAAAACAAAAAACTGACAACACCAAATGCTGAGGAAGATGCTGATAAACCGGTCACTCCTGCATTGCCGGTGGGAGTGGCAGTGGTGCAGCTGCTCTCCACCATGTTTCTCTCCTGAAGAAAGAACTGGATGCAAGAGGCAGAGTCCTAAATGAGGTTCAAGACTCAGATTCCAGACCTTTCCCCAGCCTTTCAGGATTTTCATTTTCTTTCTTTTTTCCAGGGTCTCCCACATGCTATTTGAATGCTCTACTGCTGGGTTACACCCCCAGGACTTCTTTTATTATTATTATTATTTGTTTGTTTTTTGGCACTGGGGATTGAACCCAGGGGCGCTCAACCACTGAAACACATCCCCAGCCCCTTTTTGCACTTTATTTAGAGACAGGGTTTCACTGAGTTGCTAAGCGCCTGGCTTTTCCTGAGGCTGCCTTTGAACTTGCGATCCTCCTATGTCAGCCACCCGAGCCGCTGGGATGACAGGTGCCCGGCAGCACTTCCTGTTTTATTACAAAATATTTAAGACTTACAAAAGAATATTTGAAGTGCACACATGAGTCATGCATGTTAATGGTAAATGAATATTTATAAACCCCTTCAGTCACTTAAACTCAGAACATGGCGATGCCGGGAGCCACCTTTGGGCCCTTCTTATTCCATTCACCTGGTGCCCGGGCAAACAGCTGGCACACGGCTTTATTTATCATCCCAGTGCTTCTCTGGTTTGATTATACAGGAGTGGGTAGTTTGATTGCTGTTAACGCTTACCAAAATGCCACCTTAGGCTACGCAGACTTCTGCAACTTGACGTTGGAACTCAATGTCATGTCCCCAGATCTGTTAAAATCTGCCATGGAATGAGTAGGGCCGGGGGTTTATTGGCAGGTGAAACCTGGGAGAGCTACAGAGGAGGTGAGATCTGGCAGGGAACACCTGACACTGGGATGCAGAGGGGACACATCTGGAAAGGAATGGGGATTAGTGCCACCAGGAAGGGAGAGAAGCAGAAATCGTCTGTGGCTTCTCAGGTCTTGGCTTCGGAATGGAGGCGGATTCTGCAGATGCTGTGGCTGGAAGCGAACTGTACCTCCTGAAGCTAAACGGCATGTTCTCTTTTGGAGGGGCATCCAAGTGGCGTCCTTCCAAGGATGCCAGAGTTCTAAGATTAATCCACATTGAGAAGTGTAGCCAGACGCAGTGGCGCACGCCTTGAAATCTGAGCTACCTGGGAGGCTGGGGCCGGAGGATCATGAGTTCAGGCCAGCAACTTGGCTTTGCCTCAAAACAAAAATGGAGCCGGGTGCTGTGATGCACGCCTGTCATCCCAGGGGGTCTGGAGGCTGAGGCAGGAGGATCACAAGTTCAAAGCCAGCCTCAGCAATTTAGCAAGACCCTATTTCAAAACAAAACAAACAAAACAAAACAAAACAACAACAATAACAACAAACTGGAGATGTGGCTCAGAGGTTGAGCACCCCGGGTTCAGTCCCCAGTACCAGGAAAAAAAAAAAAAGCTGTTCATTAATTTTCTTTACTTTTTTCAATATTTATTTTTTAGCTTTAGGTATCTAGGTGGGTGGACACAATATCTTTATTTTACATTGATGTGGTGCTGAGGATCGAACCCAGTGCCTCATGCATGCTGGACGAGTGCTCTACTACCGAGCCACAGCCCCAGCCCTCATTCATTCTCTTACTGCATAGTTTCCCAGACCCCATTTCCTTTATCCATCCAGTTGGTGGCTCTTAGGGTGGTTTCTAATTTCTCGTTGTCACCAACAATGCTCCAAAGTACATTCTTGTGCCGGCTTCAGTGCACAGGTGCTGGAGTCCCCATTGATATATCTTAGAGGGAGAGTTTCTGGCTCATAGAGTCTGCATCTATTGGACTTCCAAGGTAATGCCAGAAGCTTCCCCTCGACTCCTTAACACGTTTTCACGGCACCCACCATTCCCCTTCCACTTAGGCTAGCTCAAGAGGGTTTCTGTTGCTTGCAATCAAAATGAGTTCTAACCTACCTAGGCCCATCAAAGAAACGCCTTCGGGATGACATCTCTCTCTGGGACATTCCTCCCAAGAGGTCCCCACCCTGACATTGTGCAAGTCGAAATCTCATTGCCACTGCAACAGCAACAAGAGGCGGAACTACAAGAGGTGACTGGGTCACGGGCCGCCACCTTCAGGATGGATGAAGGCTGTTCCTAGCCCGGGAGGGGGCTCCAGCTGAGTTCCCTGGACGGTCCTGCTCCCACGCATGCGCCTTTCCGGACAGGTGAGAGGCCACGCCCTCCACGAGCTCTGTGGCCTGGGGCAGGCGCTCCCTGCAGAGCTGGCCAGAGCCCTGGACTCCCCAGCTCTGGAACTGGAAGAAATACATCTCCCTTCTGTGTGGACTCTGCGGTCCCAAGGACGCAGTCACAGTGGCCGAGAATGGAAACCACCACCAAAGGCGGTGATGGCGGATGTGACACAGTCACGACCAGTGTCCTTAGAGACACACCCGGTGCAGACCCGAGCCCAGGAGGAGGCCACCGTCCTGCTGACCTGACCCGGACACAGCCCCCTCGGGCAGCTTGTTCCTTGTTACTGTTGGTCGTGTTTAAATCAGCGGCTGGGAAATGGCCCAGGACGTGCAGCCGAAAGTGTCCCTCGTGATCCCCATTTGTTCCTTGAGGTTCTCCCTCTCCCCCTTTCTCACTGTCTCCCCTTCCCCCACACCCCGTCTCTGTCAGTCACAGTCAGACACAGGGTGCAGTCACTTAGACAAACAAGGTCAATGTCACAGGCAAATTGTTTACTTTTCACAATGTGCATAAAAATCACAAGAATAAACATCTTTGGGGACTTTACAACCAAATACCTTTGGAGGCCGCGATCGAAGGGCCTCATGATATCTAAGGGGCTGGGACATGCAGCAGGGTGTGGGTCAGACGCACAGGTGTCCACTGGCCACACACTTCAGGTCTCGCACCAGGAGGCGGAGGAGGTTGAAGGTGACAGAGGCCTCGAGGCAGACGGGGGACTCCTGTGGGGACCAGGGGCTCAGTGGCTGCCGTGGCCAGGGCCAGCTGCTCCAGCCCCGTCCTCTGACACCCACTCACCTTCTCGGGGGCCTGCTGCAGCCTCTGCAGCCAGTGGGACAGGCGGTGGCGGTGGCGACCCTGGGGCCTGGGGCCTGCTGTGGGCTGAGCCAGGGCCTGTGGGCAGAGGAGGGCGTGTGAAGTGGGCCTGGGCACAGGGGACGTGCGGGTGTCACAGCCATGACCCAGCCGCCCAGGACCCCAGGACTCACACAGGCCTGCAGCTGGGACTGGATGTGGCCCAGCGTGTGAAGGGGCTGGTCCAGGACGTCCCCCAGGGTCGAGGTGGCCATGGTCCCCAGGACCCGCAGCGTCAGGGCCAGCTCTGCCTGCAAGGCCACAGGGCGCTCCCACACCTGAGGGGGACAGAGACAGTGAGAGGTCTCCCTGAGAGAGCTGGGAGGGACAGGGAGGGAGGGCAGGGAGGGGGAGGGGGAGGGGCAGGGAGAGGGCACAGCAGAGCAGGCAGGACTGGGGAGGGACAGTGGGCAGGGAGGGAGAGGGACCGGAGAGAAGGACAGGGTCCCTGGGAGGCGCTGAGTGGGCCCCGGAGGCCAGGCTGGCCTGGCTCTGCCAGCTCACCTGCAGCTGCCGCAGGTCCCAGGGCCTGGGCAAGAGCGGGGAGCGGCACTCGAGGTCCTTGAGCAAGAGGGGCTCCTCCTGGGGAGCAAGGGCACAGGTTAGCCCACACTGGAGGGCGAAGGTTAGCCTACACAATAGGGGCCCAGGGAGCCTCATGAAGGGGTCCTTCACCCTCTCAAAGCCTCACCTTCACCTCCCCCAGCTTCCTTCCTGGCTCCTGGGCCTCTTCCCCAAGAGGAGGCTGCAGCTCTCCCAGGCTCAGGGTCTCACACTTGCTCTCCTAGGGCATCTCTGACCTCAGTCTCCTCTTCTAGATCTCAGCCTCAAAATGCCAGCATTTTTTAATTGATTTTATTTTTTAAATACATAACAGCGGAATGCATTACAATTCTTATTACACATATAGAGCACAGTTTTCCATATCTCTGTTTATATATAAAGTATGTTCACACCAATTCATGTCTTCATACATGTACTTTGGATAATGATGTCCATCACATTCCACCTTTATTGCTGACCCCCCCTTCCTCCCTTCCCCGCCCACCCCTCTGCCCTATCTAGAGTTCATCTAATCCTCATCTAATGCTCCCCCTCCCTACCGCACTATGAGTCAGACTCCTTATTATCAGAGAAAACATTCGGCATTTGGTTTTTTGGGATTGGCTAACTTCACTTAGCATTATCTTCTCTAACTCCATCCATTTCCCTGCAAATGCCATGATCTTATTCTCCTTTACTGCTGAGTAATATTCCATTGTGTATATTTGCCACATTTTTTAATCCATTCATCTACTGAAGGGCATCTAGGTTGGCTCCACAGTTTAGCTGTTGTGAATCGTGCCGCTATAAACACTGATGTGGCTGTGTCCCTGTGGTATGCTGTTTCTAAGTCCTTCTGACTGATGGTTTGAATTGATTTTAGGAACCTGGTAAAATCCTGTGTGTAAATCATCACAAGGAGCATGCAGTCCAACACACCTCACACCAATCCTACCAGAGAAACGTTAGGAGCAACTCTATTAAAACTAAGAAACAGAAAAAAAAAAAAAATGCCAGCACTTCCCGCTCCACCCAGGCTGTCACCCCCCCACCCCCAGCTCCCGGGCGTCGGGCCAGGAGGGCACACCCCGCCGCCGCTGCAGGAAACGCGCCCACACTGCGGGCACCGGGAGCCTGGGGCCGGGGAAGCCCGGGGCGGGGCCGGGGAGCCCTGGGATAGGGAAACAGACCCAGGTTCGGAGTTCTCCCACCGGAAGGCGACTTCCTGAGCGGGACGATTCCTGGCAGCTCGGGGTGGGTCCAAGAGGCCGCCCCGCAGGTGCGGGGCAGGTGTGGGAGGGGCTTGTTCTGGCCACGCCCACACGGGGGCTGTGAGCAGGTACTTGGGGGAGAGGTTGTTGGAGGCTCCTAAGGGGAGGCTGCTTAGGGGAAGGGAGACCACCCAGAGGGAGGAGTGCTGTGGGATGGAAGGACAGAGAGAGTTAATAAGCCAAAGATAGAACTAAAGAAAACTAAGAGGGTAAGATGCGGCGCGCAGGCCTGTAACCCAGACCGGGAGGCTGACGGAGGAGGCTCACAAGCTCCAGACCAGCCTCAGCACCGAAGCAGGACGGCCTCAAAACACAACAGTGCAAAGGCTGGGGATGCAGCTCAGTGGTAAAGCCCCCTGGGTTCAATCCCCTGAACCAAGATAACAATTATCAAGAACGTAGAGAATTGAAGGATTTGATCAGTGCGGGCCCATTCAGGTTCTGAAACATCTCACCGAACTGCATTCATAGGAACACTTGATACACGTTACTCGAAAAGAAAAGAAAGTGTGAAGATGGGAAGTTCATTGACTGGATCTGAGTGTGCACCAAGCAACAGGGACTTGTGATTGTTACTAAACGTATGGACCACAAAGTTTATTATCAGATGGTCACTCATGAACCTGTGGGCCCGGTGTGATCTGCAGAGGGTGAAATCAAGGAAACATTTCTACCTGTTAATTCCATTTATAATTTGTTTTCTTCTTTCTTTAAAAATTCTCCTTCTTTCAATGTGCTTATTGGCCTCTGAGTGATAGCAAAGCTTCTTCTGGGTAAATTGTGGTCAGGTGTGGACATCCAGTTTCACTTAAAGCCTTTTGGGGTTCAACCCTCTTTTTTTCTTTGTTCAGAATTATTTTAGTGTTATTTTAGCCAGGCATGGTGGCGCATGCCTGTAATCCCAGCAACTGGGGAGGCTGAGACAGGAGGACACAAGTTTGAGGCTAGCCTCAGCATAAGTGAGGTTCTATCTCAAAACAAAATTTTAAAAGGTGGTGGTGGGGGAGATGGAGATGTAACCCAATGGTAAAGCACCCCTGGGTTCAATCCCCAATACCAAAAAAAATTATTTTAAAACTGTACACATTTGGGGGGGGGAATACAGTGTGATAATTTGATATGAGGATACGGTGTCAATATCCAGGCTTTAAAAATTATTCTTGTCAATTGTGAGCATGCATCAGAATAATAAATAGTCAAAAACTTTTAAACACACACACAAATGAAAGGACAGCCCCCCACATCTGATACCAATGGGGAGACAGTAATGAAAGTGTCACAGAGGAGTTCAGGTGCAGCTAAAGCCTTTGAAGGACCCCGTTGACTGTGACCAACCCTTTCCTCTATTTAGCCCATCATTGGTCCAGGAAGTATTTATGGGACGTTTACTGTGGGTGGAAACTTCTAGACATCCCGGATCTACCAAGAACAAAAGTCACGAAGATTATGCCTGCCCCTCCTGGAGGTGTTCTAGTGGGAGGGCCAGACGATAGCAAAACAATAAATAATAACAACGAAGTCCGTTGCAAGAAGTGCTTTCGAGAAAAATTAAGCGGGAGATGGAGTGGGGTGTGCAGAGGGAGCCACGTGCTGTGAGACGGTTGCAGAAGGTGACATCATCACAGATAGAGGGACCGTCAGTGCCAAGGGAGCACGTGAGGGGCCCCTCACCGGCCCTGCCCGTCCTGACATTTCCACACATAAGACAGAATCCGCAGTGCACCACGCCTGCCACCCCAGCAGCCCGGGAGGCTGAGGCAGGAGGATTGCGGAGTTCAAAGCCAGCCTCAGTGAAAGTGAGGCCCCTCAGCAACTCAATGAGACCTTGTCTCCAAATTAAAAACAAAAAGGGCTGGGGTGTGGCTCAGTGGTGAAGGGCCCCTGAGCTCAATCCTTGGTATCTACGCCCTAAAAAAGATGGAGACTCCTCTTCACACTTTGAAGGTGGGAACTGGGCTTCCTGTCGCCTTGACAGTGAGGGATTGGCGAGGAGACCTGGCTGAGCCTGCGCAGCAGGGACGCGCTGAGGGAGGCGGAGCTCCGTCTCACACCTGGTCTCACCTGCACCTCCTGCCTTCAGAGGTGTGGGGTTTCCTGAGGACACTTGGCTGGGTTCTCTGTCACCTGACTCTTGCACATCTCAGGAGTCCCCTGAGGGGACACAGGGGCTGACTTTTCTTGTCCACCCAATCCCCTACCCTCCCTCCTCGTCCTAGATATGGAGACCAGTATTGGCCACTGTTATGGTGTGGAATTCCGTGGTCCCCAGGGCAGCAGTGTTCCCAGGGGCTTTGGGGGAGAGATGTCATCCGTGGATTAATCCATGGGTGGATTCATGATCGAATGGACTTTGGGGAGGTAGAGGAAATTGTGGGAGGTGGGGCGCAGCTGGAGGTGTGCCCTGAAGGATATGTCTTGTCCCCAGCGCGCTCTCTCTCTCTCTCCCTCTCTCTCTCACACTCTCTCCTTTCTGACCACTGCACTCCCCACCATAATGGTCAGCCTCACCACAGCCCAGAGACAATGGAGCCCAGTGACCTTGGACCGCAGCCTCTGGAATGTGAACCCAAATAACTCTTTGCTCCCCTAAGCTGGTTCATTTTGTCACAACTGTGGAAAGCTGAGGATGACTGCCCCCAAACCGAAGGTTCCCTCTCCTCTCATCCTCTGGGCTCCCTGTGGCCGCGTGACTTCCCCCTCCCCAGGACCTAGCCTTGAAACACAGGCAGGTGGCCCTGCTCTGTTGGAATCAGGACCTGCCTGAGGGGCAGACTTTCCTGTGCAGATGAGGACAGACCCAGAGCAGGGCAGAACAATCCAGGGTGGGCTGTGGTTTGGAAGGGCAGAAAAAAAGAAAAAAAAAAATATATATATATATATTCATTCACTTCAACCTAAAATTTGACATTTCCTCTCTGTATTAGTCTCTTACGGCTGCTATAACAAAACAGCATAAACTGTGTAGAACAACTCAAAATGGGCAATGATGAATGGATCAGCCAAAGGTGTGCATCCAACTCAGTCCTGGGAAGCGGAAAAAAACAGTCACCAAAGGACAAATACAACGTGACCACACTTACAGGAAGTCCATAAAGAGGTCACATGCAGAGAGACACAGCAGGATGGTAGTTGCCAAGGTGAGGAGGAGTGGGGGGGCAGGGCTGGAGATTTGGTTTAGCGGGATGGACAGGGCCGGGCAGTTGTAGCTCCACAGGGTGAATCTGCTTCAAACAGCTGAACTGGAGGCCTTGAAGTGGTTAAGATGGCAGACATGGGGTATATTGGCTACAGGACAGGACTGGGGGTGCAGCTCAGTGGTAGGGCACTTGCTTAGCACGAGAGAGGCCTGGAGTTGATCCCCAGCAACACAAAACCAATGCACAAATATGTAAATGGAAATTATTTAATCAAAAGGAACAGGAATAGGGACAAACCGACCAGCCAGTGCCTCAAAAGCCAAGGAATTCTGAAGGTCAGACATCTGAACTCAAGGTTGGGGGGCCAGTTCCTTCGGGGTCCCCGAGACAGGGTTCACCTTTTCAGCTCTGAGACTCCTGCGTTCCAGGCTCCTCATGGCTCCCTCACGTCACTGCACCCTCCTGCTCCGCTTGTCACCCCTCCTGAAGGGACACTAGCCTCCTGTCTCCCCTGATGAGGCCCTCAGTGAGGGCACTGGACAGCCCAGACGTCCTGTCCCCATGGCCCTCCCTTCATGTCACCTGCAAGTCCCTCTGCCAGGCGGGGCTACATATCCTCAGGGCCCAGGAGTTAGGGCCGAGGGTGGGGCCACCATTCAGGCCACCACACACTGTCACAACGACCATTCAGGCCACCACACACCGTCACAACGCGTGCATCCAGCCACAGGAGCGCCAGCAGACCTGTGACTGTCACCCGAGGGCCTCCCGCACACTCACTTCTGCCCCTTCAGGTCCCTTTAGCTCATCTCACTCCTGAGCACGGTGGTTGTTACGGCAGCCAGGTGACTCCGCCATGCCACGCAGTGACGAAGAAGCTCGTGGACAATGACATCACGGCAGGAAACGTCCTGATGCCAATGTTACTTGGCCCCGGGTGGCTCCGTCCTGGGCGCCTTCTCCTGCTGAGGAGGATCGGGCTCCGCCAGGCGCTGAGACCCTGAGCCAGGACGCTGCAGCCCTGTCCTGGGGACTCGGAGCAGGACCGCAGGGAGCCCGGCCGGACACACAGAGTCCTCCTGTCCCTCTCTGACCTCCTGTCCGGGTGGAGGGCACAGGGACCCGCTCCTGCCTTCTGCCATGTCCTGGTGTCTCGGTGACCTGCTCGGCTGGCAGTCCCCACCAGCAGGGCGGCCCTGGGCCTGGGCTGGGGCAGCGGGTCCGCAGCCGGGCTCTTGTTGGCTTGGACAATTTAGAGATCCTTGTAAGAAACAGAGAAGAGAAATATTTTACTTTCCTATTTTTATAAAAATAAGCAATCATGGGAATATATGGAGAGGGTCACCCCCAGGCCTGGGGAGGGACAGCGCCAGGGCAGGCCACATGGGCCACCTGCTGCTCCACCCAGGTCCCTTCCTCAGGACCCCACCACACCCCCGTGTCCAGTGCTCGGGGCTCCTGGGGACATTCTTTCTGGGGAAAGGGAAGGACAGGGAGCCACAGGCAAGTGCCTCGCCTCAATCTAGTCCCTTCCGAGTGGACAGCCCATGGTCAGTGTCAGCTGCCACCAAGGGACTAGAGCCCCTGAAACAGCTGCAGGAGGGACAGCTCTGGGGCCACCCAGTGCCAGAGCTCCGCAGTGGGGGGAAAGGACCCGGCTGCACTTGGGGGAACCTTGGACCCTCTGCTGTGGCCCCTCACGTCCCTGCAAGGCGTCCCCTGAAGCCGCCTCCTCAGAGGTGCCCCTCAGCGCTCCCAGGAGCCAGGCCTCGGCCTTCCTCCCCAAAGAGGTCCCAGTGGACTTGGCTCTGAGCCTCTGGAACGGGATCACTGGCTGCTGGGCTGGCCGTGGGGACCTGCGCATGGTGACAGGTAGAGCATACTGTCCCTGCCGTGCTCAGTGGCACAATGGAGAGAGCCGTCACCCTGGTGGCAGGGTTGGGACGCTGGCAAGAGGAGGCTGCGAGGGACAGAATCCCTGGTGCCAGAGAAACTCGGGGAAACTGAGCAAGGACCCTGGGACCCGATGGCTCTGGCCGAGACGCTGATTCTCAGAGACACTGAGAGGCTCAGGAGATGCAGTGCCATCACGTCAGAGGGACCCCAGGTCCGTGCTGGTCGTAGAGGAAGAGGACACGGGAGAGCGTCTTCAGAGCGGTGGAACCCACGAAGGGTGACTCCCAGCCACCAGGGCCCCTGCCCCTGAGGGACCTGGAGAACTGCCTTGGGGACACGGGGTCAGAGCAGTGACAACCTCCACTCCCAGAGCCCCCTGGGCCTGCAGGAGCAGCTATGTCCCCCTAGTCAGAACTGGAGGTGTCCCCAGCTGGGTGATCTGGCAAGGACTTCAGATGACCGTGACGCCAAGCAGACCGTCACCTTCATTTCTGGCTCCTCCACGTGTGTTGGCTTACACGGCACCAGGCTGTCCCTGAAGTCCTGGGGCCACAATCCTGGTTCAGCATCCAGGGGCCCCAATCCAGTGCAGCTGGAGGGAGGGCCCCACTCCTGGGGGCTCCCAGGGCACAACCACTTTCTCGCCCACTGGCCCTGGGGGTCCCCCGTGTTCCTTGGTGGTGGTCCCTGCCCTCCACCCTCAGGATCTTGGGGTGTCTGGCAGGAGCCGTGTCCTCCCGCTCAGCCCCATCTCCACGGGGCCTCTCCCTGCCCACGTCTGGGTGCATAGGTCCCCCTCTGGGAGGTCACCAGTCCCACTGCATTGGGCCCACCCTGATGACTTTGCTTGCTTGATTGCCACTATAGAGACCGTCTCCACAGAAGGTCACATTGTAGGTGGGGGACGAGGACTTCAGCATATCTTTGGGACTGCTGGGGGACCATAATGCAGCCTGGGCGGGTGGGTGAGGGAGAGGTCTCCAGCCTGGAGCCTTCTCCTATGACAGAACGTGTGCCAGTCCAGCAGGGGCGATGGAGGCTGGGAACTGGGAGCCCAGGTTTCCTGGTGGCACCTCAGGAAGAGGGTGGGAGGGGGGTGAGGCTGGGAATGTCCCATAGGGCTGGATGGCCTCCCGCTCTGGGGCCCACAGAGGGGTTTCGGGGGTGACCCTCTGATTTCCAGGGGGACAAGGGAACCCAGACCATCAAGGCTCCACAAGGTGGCTCCGTCAGGGCCAGGAGGGGCACTTGGGGATGCTCCTAGAAGCCGGCTCCCTGATGGCCGTGGGCGTGCGAGGACCTGAGACAGGAGGCCAGGCAGTGACACGGACGTCCTGGGAAGGCAGATGCGATTGTCGCGATGGAGAGCGTGATCAGACTGGCCGCCTGTGGGTCTGACCCGGGAGACCTGGGGTAGAACAGACGTCTGGGGGGGACAGGTGGGCAGCCATGGGGGTCTCTGAATTTGCACAAATAAAGAAACCCAGGAGCGGGGCCCGGGCTGTGGTCAGAGGCCCTGAGAGGAAGCCCTGTGCCCTCGCCCAGGAGGCAGCCTGAGTAGGCTTCCAGGGCCGGTGGGAAGGAGGGATGGGACCCCGGGAGAGGGACCTACAGCGTCACAGCAGGGGTGTCCAAGAGCCATTCCTCAGCCCTTCTGCCAAGGGGCCAGGACCTGGGTGCTGTGCTGCCTTGAGCTGGCTCCTGACAGCCAGGGCGCATTCCCTGACTTGTTGTTGTTGCTGTTCCTGTTTGTCCTGGGGGCTGAGCCCAGGGCACCTGGCCGCGGGGTCCACAGGGAGCCCCCCACTTTATCACTTGGAGACGGGGTCTCCCTGCGCTGCTGGGAGGAACCTCCAACGTGGAATCCTCCTGCCTCAGCCTCTCAGCAGCTGGGCTGCAGGTGTGCGCCTCTGGCCTCCAGGGGTTAAGGTCAAGGAGGGCGTTTGTATGTGAACGAAGCCATTTAAAATGTAAAGGACACTTAGGACAACTTAGATATAAGAGATCATTAGTATCAAAAGTCCCTTTCTACTCACTTCATGTATCACTCTGCCCTTGAGGTTCACACGTCTCCTGGGTTGGATTATGTCCCCCATAGTGTGTGGGGAAGTCCTAACCCCCGTACCTCAGAGGGTGACCCCATTTAGAGACAGGGCCATTGCACATGGGAGCTGTTAAGATGAGGTCATTGGGGGGGGGCCTGAACCTTGGTGTCCTTGTAAGTCAAGAAGAAGAGAGGAAGGGGAGACCCCGGGTAGCAGAGGCCGTGGGACAACGGAGGCAGACATTGTGGGTGCCTCTGAGGAAGGCCCAGGATGGCCACAAACTCCAAAAGGATATCCGAGGCTCATGGTTTCAGAGTCTTGAGTTTATAAAAAGCTGGTTCCATTTCTTGGAGTTCGAGATGGGGATGGACATCAGGGCGGAGGGTGTGGCAGAGGGAAGCAGCTCACAGGACGACCAGGAAGCAGACTCCATGCCCAAGACGCCAAATGGATACTCCTAGCCCCGTCCCCAGTGCCCCGCATCCTTCAGCCACCCCCGGCCTCCAGTGACCCTCAGTTAATCCCTCAGGGGTTAATTCCCTGCTGAGGCCAAGGCTGTGGCCCAGCCATTTCTCCCCCAGACCTTCCTGCATGGTCTCACACGTGACCTTGGGGGGGACACCACATCTGAACACACCAAAGACCTAGAACACTAAAACACGCTGTCCCTGGCATCGACGTGGGGGGGACGGAACACCCAGGGCCACTCTGCAGCTCTCCCGAGGTCCCAGCTCACTGGCAGCCTGACCTTGGCTGTGGTGGTGTGTTGACCCCATGGAACCCTGCAAGGCCCCAGATTGTGTCTTTCTTCACCCACGGCCAGTTGTCACCTATTACCTGCCCAGCACCGCCAAGGGGCCACAGGCCACTGCCCTGAACAGAATCCTGGGACAGAGGATCTGGGTGACTATGGAACCTGGGGACCCAGCGTGCCACACTGAGCCTCCTGTCAGCATGGGGACACCTGGGGAAGGGGTTACATGGAGTCCTGACCAGGCAGGGCCAGAGATCTATGGTGATGAGAGAAGATCAAATAGAACCTCTGTCCTGGTCCCCTCCCATCCTGGCCATGACAGTAAGCAATGACCTCCCAGAGGTGAGGGCAGACAGAGGGCTGTCCTCAAAGGGGGAGGGCGGCCATGATTCTTGGAGCATTAGGACTGTTTTCCAGGCTGGTGCACAGCTCTGGTCCCTGAGGGGCAGCGTCCCTGGGGAAAGGACCAGGACCAGGCTGCCATCCCGCTGCAGGGCCAGCAGAGGCCTCAGTCCTGAGCACCAGGGAGCAGCTTGTGGCCCCTGCCCGCGAATGGGAGGGCTCCCTGCAGGGTCCCAGGGCAGCCCAGGGGACACTCTGACTTCTGCCCAGGAAACCAGGACCCCACAGTCCGACCCCCCAGCTCCCACGGCAGACCCCAGACAGGTGACAAGGGGCTGTGGGGAGCTGCAGGTGGGGGAGACAGAGATGGCCACCAACAGGACACACAGGGTCACGGGCCTCACAGGAGAGCCTGGGACTCGCCGTTTATTTGCACAATGTTTACAAAAGTAGAAAAATAAACACTTCACTGGGTCTGAGAGTCACACAAATAAATAAGGCCACGTGGAGGGCTGGGGACAATAAATTAAGGAGTGTCATCGCTGCACAGATGAGACCTGAGATTCCTCGACGGCTCAGCAGGGTGTGGGTCAGACGCACAGGTGTCCACTGGCCACACACTTCAGGTCGCGCACCAGGAGGCGGAGGAGGTTGAAGGTGACGGAGGCCTCGAGGCAGACGGGGGACTCCTGTGGGGACAAGGGGCTCAGTGGCTGCCGTGGCCAGGGCCAGCTGCTCCAGCCCCGTCCTCTGACACCCACTCACCTTCTCAGGGGCCTGCTGCAGCCTCTGCAGCCAGTGGGACAGGCGGTGGCGGTGGCGACCCTGGGGCCTGGGGCCTGCTGTGGGCTGAGCCAGGGCCTGTGGGCAGAGGAGGGCGTGTGAAGTGGGCCTGGGCACAGGGGACGTGCGGGTGTCACAGCCATGACCCAGCCGCCCAGGACCCCAGGACTCACACAGGCCTGCAGCTGGGACTGGATGTGGCCCAGCGTGTGAAGGGGCTGGTCCAGGACGTCCCCCAGGGTCGAGTTGGCCATGGTCCCCAGGACCCGCAGCGTCAGGGCCAGCTCTGCCTGCAAGGCCACAGGGCGCTCCCACACCTGAGGGGGACAGAGACAGTGAGAGGTCTCCCTGAGAGAGCTGGGAGGGACAGGGAGGGAGGGCAGGGAGGGGAGGGGGAAGGGCAGGGAGAGGGCACAGCAGAGCAGGCAGGCAGGACTGGGGAGGGACAGTGGGCAGGGAGGGAGAGGGACCGGAGAGAAGGACAGGGTCCCTGGGAGGCGCTGAGTGGGCCCCGGAGGCCAGGCTGGCCTGGCTCTGCCAGCTCACCTGCAGCTGCCGCAGGTCCCAGGGCCTGGGCAAGAGCGGGGAGCGGCACTCGAGGTCCTTGAGCAAGAGGGACTCCTCCTGGGGAGCAAGGGCACAGGTTAGCCCACACTGGAGGGCGAAGGCTGGACCACGGCAGGGGCCTGGAGGGGCCAACGGTAGGAAGAGGGCAGGTTCCCTCAGGGGAAGGGCAGGATCCCTGCGGGAGAGACCTCAGGTCGCCCAGGGGAGCCCAGGGTGGACAGGGCAGAGGCCAGCCCTGCAGGGAGGCTGAGGGCCACCCACAGAGCTGCACGGGGAGGCCCAGGGAGGAGGCCAGGGCACAGGCAGGAGGGACAGGGACACTCACAAAGGCGTCTCTGGCCTTCCTGAAGGCCTGCAGCTCCCGTGGGGCCAGAGTCTTGAACTGGGCCATGTCACAGTCCCTGGCATCTGGGTGGGCGCTGAGGGGACTGGGCACAGGAACTGCCCGTGTCCTCGTCAGCACCGCAGACGTCAGCG